ATAAAAGGGGAGTCTTTTTCTGTACCCTAGACTCTCACAGTTGTGGAACTAAAGGTCAGTGCTGAACTCTACCTATTGCTCTTAATTTGTTTCAGTCCTACATATATCATATATTCCTAGTGGAAAATTCCATGCATTAATGATGTTCTAAATTGGGCTGATGTTCTCTTTGGTGAAGAAAGAGAAAAATAAGAACTTTGCAGAAGTGATAAATAATGTCCAAAAGGACAGGTGAAAGATAAATCTTTTTGCAGTAGCTGCATATTTTCCAGATTTTTAAAAGGCATTTCATGACAAATCACATTAGACATGAGGAGAAATATTTTAATTGCAAAGGTAGTTAAGTTCCAGAACAGGTGAGAGGTTTTCAGTAGTTGGAGTCCAAGAAAAACACTTATTCAGGTCAAGTTAATTCTCGAGATAAAATGGTATGCATGTCGCCCTTCCAGTGTTTTTTCTAACCCTATGCTTTGAAGTCTAGCTAATTTCTTTTTTTTTCTTTTTTGTATGGAGGTTCAGAATATGAATGAAACTTTACAGACAGAGCTGTTAGTATAGACTAACTTTTATATCCCATAACATTTATTGAAAGTAAGATAAGGAATAAGCATTTAAATCTCAATAGCTTTTCAAACCTTTGCTAGTAAATAAAAGAGTAATTCCAAAGATGGCTGTATCTGCCACAGCTGTTTATGCAGTTTCAGCAGTGCTGTGACTGCAGCTGTGCAAAACCACTGCAAAGTTCAATTCCCTGAAGAGAGATTAAACCGCTACAATTCACATGCCAACCTTTTCTCAGAAGACGAAGGTCAGTGTTATGTGATACACAATATTATTTCACACAGTATTATTTCATATGCAGTAATAGTTGGACCGAGGTCCATTTTCAAGCTCTCAACACTTGGAGGGAAGAGTTGTTTCCTGACTTCTCTTGTCCCACCATGTAGTCTTCAAGTAGTCTTTGTATCCCCCATAAATCTCCTCTTTTAATCCTTTAGCTTTTTCAGATAAATTACTTGTTTCTAAGTAGGCAGTTCCAAATCTCATCCAAGGAAAACCACTCCCTTGCACATTTATTGCTGCTGTCTTCCTGCAGAGTCAGTTCCACTCCTGACCCAAAGACATGCCATTACTTCTGCAAGTCTCTTAACTAGAATATTGCTGTCTATTCATTCCATGGCCTAGATATTTGCTAGATAAACATGTTCATTTTTAGTAGAAATGGTTGGCTTGTCTTAAGAAATTGTAACTATATTTATGATAGCTTCACATTTTGGGCTGCAGATCTCGCTGGCTCAACAGCTCTCTACCCCCTGACAATCTTACTGTCATTAGAGCAAATTTCCAGAATGTTTCCAGTTCATGTGAAAAACTGGAGGAATAAGAAAGAAAAGAGATAGGAGGAGGTTGATGTTGTACGTTAGTATGTTAGTCTGGTCTTTTTCTGACATGCAGTCAGTGAGTGTAGGTTAAGCCAAGGGCCTGGGTATTTTTTCCCTACTCTGCCCAGCTGATGACTGAGGACTCCAGGCTGACAATATTTCTCTAACATGACCCTGTGACAACAATCCCCATGAGGCCACAGAGTAATAACTTTAGGAGTGGCAAGAGGGTACACTTACTAAAAATGTTTCAGTATCTCCCTGGCTTAGGTCCATAATTCTGCTTATAGCAGAAGATATGAATATGTGACTGAAGGCCAAGCTGGTAATGATACTACTTTTGACATTAAATTTTGTGGGGTTGAACCCTGAATAAAAATGAAACTATTCTCATCCCTCAAAATTTTTGGAAGTAATGAAATATTTCCTATCCTCAGGAAAACCAGAGCACAAGGAAGAATATTTTTAGTCATATTTTTAAAAATAATTTGTTTACTTCACAAATGATTTCATGTGAAGACACTTCTTTAAAATTTTTCATGTATTAAGACTTCCATTTCTATAATTTTATTTCCTCTGAAACAATTTCTAACCTAAAGTATGTCATTTTAATCACCTATGAATTTTCACAGCTTTCATTTTTGTTAATGCAAAGCATTACAAAATGCTACCAAATTTAAATGATAATACTGGATTCACATAACTGGTTGGTTTTGTTCCACTCACTTCTTCTCGTGAGCAGAAAGTTCCTGAGCTAGAGGATCAACACATCTTGAGCTGATACTTGTTTTGAGATGGAGCATTTGAAAGCATGCAGAGTAGCTGTGTGTTACTATGATTTATGGTGTCTCCACTACTGTTCCCCTCTAGCTGGAAGGTAGAAGGAAGTTGAAGGAAGGCACAATCCCAATTACACTGGGAATCACTTAGAAACATCTGCCTGTGGCCTGAGAGGGAGAATGGGGCAGACTACAAGCCAGCACTGCATGTCATTCCATCTGTCTGATAGCTGGTTGTTGAATCTCCTTTGTGGTGTACAGCCCTGTAACTAAAAGTTGGTCAAATTCTTTCTTTGTCTCACATGTGAATGGAGATATCATTTAATATCTTTCCCATGAAATCAGGTGTGACCAGCACCCAGTAGGTATAAAAATTGTAAGACAAATGTCCTTAATGAACATTTGGGCATGAGAGAATAGATTTAGAGAGCTAGAGTGTTTTGAAGCCACTGCTTTCAACTTTGCAGGCTGTCATCTTAAATATAAGTGACGATGGAGAAAGGAATCAAAAATATTTGCTCAGAAATATTTAGGAGGAAAAGTCACACCCAACAGCCCTCTGAAATCAGAAAGTTATGAAAGCAGCAGTGCACTTTCAGTTTTACTGGTTAACAATTTGCACTAATTTTAGAAGTAGAAAAAATGAAAAGAAAAAATAATGAAAATAGCTCTAATTCATGTCTTTTCAGCAGTAAGGTTTTATTGGTACTTGAAAATACTGAGTGCATGGTACCAACTTAATTCTTTGATGTTTTTGCAATCATATATAATTTTCTTTTCAATGTTGTTTTCAAGCGTATTCATGCAACAAGGATTGTAAGCAATTGAGCAGGTGTGTGTGAGGTAACTGGTGGCTGAGGAGCTGATAGTGAGCAACCATTAAGGTAGCTTTTCAAAGGTAAAAAGAATAAGCAGAAGAATACTGCTTCCAGACAGGGAGCTGTGAGCTTGGGGACTGCAAGCATCCTTGAAATGTACAGCTGGCCTCTTTGAAGCCCAGCTGGGCACTAAGAAATGGGACACTTCCTGCGTTTGCATCATGATCACGGTACCAAGAAAGTTTAACCTCCATTTATCATCACAAAAAGTGGAAGCAGTCTGGGAAATTTGAATTGATCTGAATAAACAGAGCAGATCTCTGAACAACCTGACCTAGCTGAAAATGTTCCTACTCACTGCTTGGACTGGGTGGCCTTGAAATTCACCTCTCAGCCCAACCCATTCCATGATTTGATAATACAGAGGATAGCTTGCAGGTAGACTTTTTGCTCCAGATTTGCATGTGTCAGTTTGAGTTGATTTTTTTTTTTTCCTTACATATCACCTTAATCTCTGAAGCAGTGCAAAGACTTATGGAAACAGCAGCATATACATATGTTTAGTCCTGTATTAAATCTAGCCTCTTGAATGTAATATCATAAAATAAGATTCTGGTTACTCATGTAATGTCTTAGTGGCACGCTGCTAATTCTTCGTGGAAGTAGCAAATTTCAAGTACCCATTCTACTCACAGGGTTCAGAGTGTTTATCTTCAAATAGTATGAGTCAGCTGATTTTCTCATGATGGTTCATTTTCACAGAGGTCTTTCTGTCCCACTTATACAAAGAGAACATGAATGAATGTTACAGGATATGTCCCACATGAGAATATCTAAAACTGTTGTCTTCACTGCCATCCTGTCCATCCTGACCTGTTTGCTTTCTTTTGTTGGTAACTAATTTTTCCCTGAAGTTTTGCCACATCTATAAGCTATAAAATGCTGCTGATGGACTTTCGAAAGCATTGCAGATGATGGACCTAAGCATCAGACTTGTTAACAGAAAAGAGGAAGATCAACATCAGTAGAATGCCACCCTAACACTTCATTAACTCAGAGTTTATAATCTCTTTACTGGTGACCCATGGCTGCATAGTCCCAGTTTCTCCCCTGTGCTTGCTTCTGAGGGATCTCAGCATCTTGTCTTGTGAAGACTATCCGTCCACTGGGCTATACTTAGTGGAGGGGTGTTAGTATGGATATTTTTAGTGTCTGTGTAAAAGAGCAAAATGAGAATATGTTACGTTCTTACTGCAGAATATGAGGCACCACATGCAATGGCTGGTTTCATCAGCCATCCTGTTCAGCAGATATGTTATTTTTCATATTGTGATTCAATGTGTTATCTTTCCCCTGCAGTATGGGATAAAGAAGAAGGAAGAAAAGGAAGCAGAGGCCCAGGCTGCACTGGAAGCTAATGCTGAAGGGAGTCTGACACGCCCAAAGAAGGCGATCCCTCCTGGCTGTGGGGATGAGGAGGAAGAAGAAGAAGAGAGCATCCTAGACACAGTCATCAAATACTTACCAGGGCCCCTGCAGGACATGTTCAAGAAGTAATAGCTGCAGACTGTTAGATGGGCATAAACAGTACTGCAAAGGATTTCTCTTTTGCCCAATGGGGATTTACAATCTTGCCATTCATCCCGCAGTCCTCCCCACCTCTGCCCTCTACTGCTCACTAGGAGTCCCTTCGCTTCCCATTCCCTTCCAACTGCCTCTTTCCCTTTCCTCTGCCCCAAGACTCATCCTTTCCTTAATTTTGTACATAGTCACATCCAGTAGATGCCTCTGAATGGATGTAAAGATTAAAAAGCTGCAGACTACACAACTTTTATTATAAGCCATAGTACTATGTATGTTAAATACGGCACTGCACATCAAGCATAGAAAAGGAACAATCTCATTTCCATCCAATGCAAGAAGGAGTGTTCACTAAGTATGAACAGTGGCCTCTTTAATTTTTTAAAATTATATTATTTTTATTATTGATAATAATTAGTTATTATTATAATGTTCCTATTGATTGGGTCACAGTAGCCATTTTTTGTTTAGCACATCTGCTCTCGGAAGGGATATCTCAGTTCTCCCATGGAAGCAGAGCTTTTCTGTTTTAATTCCATCTGTGACATAAATAAAAGATCATTTGGAAAGTAAATCATGCATGACTTACACAGCTGACATCACTCAGAATTGTGGAAGAAGTGAGTCATCTGCCCTCAGATGCTGTAGAAGTTAAATGCCTCAGAATCTAAGCAAGAGTCATGTTACTTTGGGAATTAGCCATACATTTACCTTGAATGAGCAAATTGGTCAGGCACTTGCCGTACAGAGAGCTGAAACCATAGAAGAGGGCACAGTGCACTGGTAGAGGACCTCCCCAACCCCTCTGAAGCCAATGACAAGTGTATTTGCTGCTCTGTTTAACCAATCTTCCTCTTTCTGCCATATTCAACCATCCCGTTTCCAGCAGTGCTTGCAGGTTGGACATTTGGGTTCCAGCACATTGTCGTGGCTGTGTCCTGCCCACCCTTTCCTGCAGTGTGTGGGAGTGTGTGGTGGTCTGAATGTCAGTCATGGCAGATCCATAAATATCCATTTTGTTTATTGTGCTAAATTACTGCATTGCCTTGAGGAGGTCACTTATTTTCTGCCCCACTGAAATTCTGCACCTGTAAAATATAGGTTTCAGTCTCTCCCTACTGTAAAAGCATAAAGTGAGGATGCTTCTTAGTGCTGTGCAGGAGCTAATTAATATTACAGAAATGTGTGATATCCCTTGATGCTAGCAGGGTGGGAGAAGATTTTTTTCTCACCATTATCTTTGTGGCCTTTTGCAGACACAGGTACAGAGGTCTCCTCAATGAAACACTGTAGATATCACATAATTGCATAAGAAAATCCAAATTCTATGGGAGATGTTGACTTGGTAATACCTACATAGATTCAATACATAGATAGACCTATTTTGAACACAGGTCCTCATGGTCAGGTATCTGGCTTGTCATCTGAAGAGCTAATCCTGAAATTTTGCATCTGGCTAGGTCACTGTAGTCGATGCTGTAGACATACCATCTCAGTCTCACAATCTTGTCAGTAGAATCAGGGTTTGGCTGGCAGAACTAGCATTGCTTGTCCCTGTCCTGGGAACAACAAAAATTTCCTAAGTACAAGGATGAGATTTGAAAGCAAATACACTCTTTCTCTGGCAACAAAAAGGAGGATAATATCAGACACTACATTATGTACCTAAATTAAGCATTTTACTTCAATGGATTTTCTTTTCATTCATTCAGTGCACTTAGTTTAGGCAAACATCTCAATATTATCCTGAATAAGATATTTTAGAAGACATGTATTACCTTTCCAGGTAAGCAGAAGAAATCTGTACCATGGTTAAGGAATTGAGCAAGAGAGCTCTGTACCTTCCAGTAGCACCTGTTACAATAGGAAAAGAGTATTTTGAAAGAGAATAAACATAGTGTGCCCTCCTCACACAATTTTTATTCAGGTGTTATAGTCCTCACTTCTTCTCAAATAATTTCAAACATAACTTTCTACTGAATCCAAGGCAGAGGCTGAAGAGGTTTGACTGATATGCAAGTCAGAACAAGTTGATAAAGATGCAACTTGTTTCAGGCTGTGTATCTATGAAAAAGACTTGTTTGTTCAAGTGCAAGCTGCCAAGGGCTATCTAGAAGGCAGGTTTTACTCATTTGGATAATGTCAGTGAGACTTTTGTCCGCCTAATTTTCATTTAAAGCAAGATGACTGCTTCTCTCCTGAGACTTTCAATAAACCCAGAACACTGTATGAATCTGTGCTTGGGTACAGCATGGTAGTGTTGAACAATTTACTGTTTCCTAGGAAGAGTGTCCTACTCACCCCATGCAAATTTTGCAACTAGTAATTTGAGGCTGTTTAAGTAAATCTCACAAAATTGGAAACTCTCTTTCTGTCACAGTCAGCAGCTCATTTTGATGCTCTGCTACAGAGTATCCAACATCCCCGAAAGCTAAAAGGCAGAGCCTGGCTCTTCCTTTCAGCCACTCTCTGGTCCCTAGATCACCTAACCTAGATCACTGACATACAAACATGAATACTATTGAAATGCCTTGATTAATCTCCTTGGCACACATCCTCTAATACATAAGTAAAACCAGCAGAAATGTGCCTGTGCTAAAATGAACACATCCATTCATATATTCCCCTGGCCTCGTGCTGGAGAATTCTGCCAACAAACAAATGAGAAGATAAGCTTATTCCACTTTACTTTGGCTTTTCTCTACCACTTGCTTGCTGACCTTTCCCTAGCTCCCATTACTGATTCCCTTCCTCATCCAACCAAATAGTGTTCCTGATGTAAGATCAGAATTTTCTGCTTAGCATTCTCCTTGCAGAATGTTAGTGCTGATTGTTTTCACAGTCTCTCTAGCAGCTTGGTGTGCGTGTTTGTGCACACATCTGTGGAAGATGGGGAAATTGGAGAAGATGGGGAGAAGAGAGAGAGAAAGGAAACCTGTTTGGTACCATTTTAGATAATTGTGCCTCAGCAGCTGTGGCATTGAATGACTGGTCTAAGTCAGGATCTTGTGTAGACTGTAGTAAAATTTCTAAAGCAGGTAGTGCTATCCCTGGGCTCAGAACACTAAAAATACTGCCCTTGTGAGCTGACCTCCTGAGTTATGTGAACATCTGGATTGGACCCCTGAAGAGGGCCATAGAATCACTATACCGAGTCATATAGGCCTCATTCCAGGCTCACAAAGCAGGAGGGAAAGGGAAGGTGGTTTATTAAATAGTTTACTGAGTCTTTTTCATTGTGGAGGCTTCCCAGCTCAACCATTTCATCACTTCTGTATCTCAACTAGCCACACCTGCACCAGCCCTTCCTCCGCTGACAGGAGAGAGTTCATCCAGGTGTGAGCTGCTAGTTCCCATTTTTCTTTTCTTGCCATAAGAAACAAGACAGAAGATCTACCACAGGTACTGGATAGGTTTTGCTTGGTTTTGCCTCACATAACTTTGGCATGTTGCATGAGAGTGGCCCTCTCCTCAAGTCATTCCATGGTCCTGAAGTGCCTAAGCCATGCTGAACAGACTCGAGAGCAAGGCACTCTCCTTTCTCTTCTGCCCATCTATTTCCCTTTCCACTCAGAACTGGTAACAAGGGACACAGACACCTTTGACTCACGTGTGGAAGTCGGAAGCATTGTCTCACACACTTTTCCCCTTGGCACTTAAGCAGGTGATGAAGCACTTAAACAAGAGACCAAAGAGAAGTATGGTTCATTGTTTGGATTCTGAATATCTTTTTGTCTTTCATGACATTGTTTTGTTTGCATCACTGGTCTGTTCAATCTCAGGTAAATGAGGTATTTTAGTTTTATAACTAGTTTTTATTTACACAGAAAGGTTGTTGGCTAGACACTGCAGTCATTTTCCCTCACAACTCCAAGACCTTACAGGTTAGTAAAAAATAGTCAAAGGGCCTTCTCATTTGGAGGGTAAATGATTTAGTTTGCCATTGACCTTGAGAACTCACATTTATATGTAGAGAAAGCCATATGAAATCAGACTGCAATATGAATTATCAATGCTACTCTTGTGTTTAAAATGAATAAAACAAAATATAAGAACATGTGCTTAATCACTTTGGAGTTCCTCTGTCTATGTTTCTAGTATCATACATTGGCTTAGATCCCTCCCAACCTCTCTCCTTCATCAAGAAAACCATATCAGTGCTGCTGAATACATCTTTTTGCCAAGCTTTGTGTGCTAGAGCAAGCATTGTTAGAAGTTAGCTGTTGTGATCTAAATGTAATGTCTTCTGTATCTGAAAGTTGTCTGTATTTGTTCTGAATATATGTTATCAAGATAACTGTTTCTTCATGCACTGAGTTAGTAAAATGTTTCAGTACTGTCATTAAAAAAATTGCTTGTTTCTCTCTTTCATACACACAGAGCAAAATTTAACTTAGTCATGCATTTTCTAGTAGAAATGCTCCCCAGCTTTCTTTCGGATGCATGCAGTACTTGAAGATGATTTAAAGTAGAGACATTGTGAATGTGATTTTAATTTGTTATTTTACTGGTATTTTTTCCTGCATGATGTGGGTAAATGGTATGATGTTCTTTTAAAATGGAATCACAGCCAATAAAAAACCCCAGTGATTTCATAAATTGTTTGCAATGCTTTCCTCTGACATTTCTATCAGGCTACATTTGGAAATCAAAGCATGGTTGCTCATATACAAATAGAGTGATAACAGAATTGAGCAGCAACATGGACATTATTTGAATAAACATGCTCTTTTTTTCATTTGTCAGAAACACTGATGATGTTTGATGTGTACAGGTGATTATCAAATTTTAAATAAGTTTTGCTACTAGGAATTAGTTTTCCTTAAGAAGAGCAGAACAACACTCCTTTGAAAGAAACATAGACATTTAGCTATGTGTAGTGAGAAAATGTTTGGATCTTAAGACAAAAAATGTAAAACACTGATTTGCAATGACATGAAATGTATCTCAGGATCCAGAATTCATGATATGTACAAAACTCTTTGAATGGTAAGTTCCACACAGCTAAGCCTCATTTTACTTGCTTAGACACAAATCATTAGCTGTTGTATTCAGCATGAGTGTTGCATCACGTTAGAAAAAGATATTACCATACATCTCATAGGAAAACCCAATACCCTTTTACCTACCCTTCCTTAGGACCATTCTTTGATCATTTAGTTTTTTACTAACAGAAGCAGCCACAGGAGTGTCACAGAGAATCAGACCATATTATTTATGTGCCAGAACACCTACTCAGAATTTGAGCCCAGCACTGCTAAAACTAACACATGCTAATGCTGCTGCAGCCTATGAGTTCAAGGGCAGGCTCTCCATGTACTTCAGGTTCCAGGCAAAGTCTGTGTTTGAGGAAGATAACAGGGCAAGAAAATATTGTTCACTGGTTTCCCCAAGAAACAGACAGCTTAAGGGAACCAGAACTATCATATCAGAAGTGCAGGGGACAAGATCCAGATACTGAAGAATGAAAGCAGGTGATTTTGAAAGGCTTCATTTTGCAATGGAGGTAAATGACCATTTTTAAACAGCTTCTGCTTTCTTATTAAAAAAGAAAAAAAAAACAGAAAAAAAAAAGAAAAAAAAAAAACAAAAAAAAAAAAAAAAAAAAAAAAAAAAAAAAAACAAAAAACAAAAGGAAGGATAAATTCCAGTGGTTAGGCTGGTGCAATCTACCTTTTCCCATTTTAAAAGTACATTTTGTCAGGTAAAATCCTCTCCAGAGAAAAAAGAAATCAGCAGGCACATCATGAGGGCCTCTGGAGTTAAAAATTACTCTAGTTAAGAAGATGCATTAGTGATTTATTTCTCAGACACTGATCCTGAGATGAAATTATTAGCCCTACTGCAAGCTTCTACTCTTCACTGACAGCAGTGGTGGCATGGACTACATACTTGGGGCAAATATTTAACTTCCAAATGAAAGTCTGGGTGGAAAGATTCTCATCATGGTCCTGATTAAGTCCCTTTTTTGATGTGTTAATTTCATTTTCTTCCTGAAGTGCCACAGATGATCTAGGGTCCATAAAGCTCTCTCTGAAAACGTGATTTAATTGAAAGCTACAGAACAATCCTGGTACAATGCTGTTCTGTATATTGGGATCACAGGCAGTTTGTGGCAACCATAAACATGCCCAGTTAAAAATCCCAGCTGAGATTTTTATTTCTTCTGTAACTGACCCTCCCCTTTTCAGTAAAAAAAAAAAAAAAAACAAACCAAAAAAACCATCACCAAAAAAACCACCAAAACCCCCACATCAAGAATGTAATTGCATTGGGGTGTTCCTTGTTGAAGATAACTCTGCTACAGCCTGTCTCCTATGATTTCACAGACAGTTTGAGATAGGTGGTGAAAGTATATCTGAAAAAGACAAATGGCTGGAATATGTGATGTCAAACACCCATGCTTTCCTGAGCCCTTGGTATTGAGAAGCTAAATTCTGCTAGTGCTGTGAGATGGAAACAATTCTTTTATTTGAGATTTGTTTTTCTCTGAAAATCTATTTTTGTATGAGAGGGTCAGATATAACATTGTATTTGGGAATCTCTAGCTTCAGCAGCTGAGCATACTTTGAATTAGAAAAGGACTTATTTAAAACCTGTGTGGTGAACATTTAAGCTGGGCTATGAGAGGTTTAGACCATCACAAACAACAACTGTCTGACTGAAAGTATAGTTCATGTCTATTAACTTTTTAATTTAAAAAAATCTTTAAATTTACAGATAATAGAATGTATCTTCCCAATTTGTCACCTGCTGGTCAAAAAAGTCAAACCCAAGAAAGGCCAGTCTGCACAAAATGGGAGAATGTGTACTGAAATGTAATTAAGATATTCATACTTCATATTCTGTGTCAATTTTCACTTTACTTTTGCTGAAAATAGCCAAAGTATGTGTACGATCATTTCTAATTTGTTTATGTGTGTCATCAACCTGAAGCTGGTGTATGGCTGATATGGGACTATCAGTTTCATAGCTGGATAAGCTGTGAATTTTCTGCATATAAAAACCCAATATCTAGCAGCTTGCTTTTAAATTATTGAAATTGAGACACATTTTCAGGCTTCCATATCTTATCAAGACCTGAGCAGACGCTCATCAGACATTCAGCCCTCAGCCACAAAAAAACCCCTTTTTGTGAAGACTGAGCATGGCAAATCATAGAATCATGGAAGGAAAAGACTTTTAAGATCATCAAGCCCAGCCATCGATGTAGCTCCACCACTATGCTTACCATTAAATCATGCCCTCGAGGGCCATATTCAAATGTTTTTAGAATGCTTCCAAGAATGGTGACTCCACCCACTACTTCCCTGTTCCAGTCTGTTTCAATGTTCTTCCGGGGTGGGGGGGGTAGGTGGGGGGGAAGAGGAATGAAAATAATATCCTAATATCTAGTCTAGACCTTACCTGGGGCAACTAGAGACTATTTCCACTCACCCTGTCTCTTGCTACCTGGGGAAGAGACCCATCCCTACCTGGGTACACCCTCCTCTCAGGCAGCTGTAGAGGGTCATAAGGTCTCCCCTGAGTCTCCTTTTCTCCAGGCTTAATCCCAGCTCCCTCAGCCGCTCCTCACAGGACTTGTGCTCCTGATCCTTCACCAGCTCCACTGCCCATCTCTGGACATGCTCATGCAGGTATCAGTGAAGAGGACCAGCCCCAAAACTGAACCCTGAGGAACCCCACTTGCGAGTGGTCCGCAGCTGGATGTAACTCCATTCACCACCACTCTCTGGGCCTGGCCATCCTGACAGTTTTTTTACCAAGCAAACAGTGCACCATGGAAACACTACTTCACCAGGAGACTGCTGTGGGAATCTCAGACTAAATCTGAACATTTTAAAGTGAATGCATCAAGAAATAAAGAGATTAATAGAGATTGATTCTCTGAAAAAATATCTTGCTACTGAAATTCATCTGGGACACTTGGGGACAAAACCTATTATTATCTCTTTCAAAGTAATATTTGAAGAAATTCCAACACATGTATTGCCAACTGACAATCAAGTTACAGACTGAAAGCCTTTCTTATTTAGATGATTTAAAAAAGAATTTGGTTTCACAGTGCTAAATGGAAATGAGATGCAAGGCATTTGGAAATTTTTCGCATTTTGTTATAGTATAGTGTTAGGAAGCTCCTAATGACCTTGTACTTTCACCTAAAAAATAAAATAATTCTTTTCCTTGTCGTATTGCAGCTTTTTTTAGTGTGGACATGAGCCAGACTAGCTGAATAGGCTATGACAACAAGAGGGAAAAAAAATGCCCACAATACATATAAAATAATGGGCAAGCAGATAGTAATTGCTCATGAGTTTGGGGTTGTTTTTTGTTTTTTTCTTTTTTGTTTTTTGTTTTTGTTTTTGTTTTTTTTTTTTTTTTTTTTTTTTTTTTTTTTTTGGGGTTTTTTTGGGTTTTTTTTTTTTTGGTTTTTTTTTTTTTTTTTTGGTTTAACTCAACAGAGCTCTGCACTACATTTGGAGGAGCAAAATGAGAGTACAATATTTTAATGGAAATTTCCTAGGCAGATTATACAAGTTTGCTTATTTACTGTGGTTATGAAAGGTAGCTCAGCATGAACACTAAAGTCATGCACAAAAGCAGGTTGTGGAGATCCACCCTCCTGCAAAGTAAAAGAGAGAACTCTGCCCATTGTCAGTTCACTTGCCTGAGTAGGGGAAGCTAGAATAACAGAGCTAATAATTTTAACCCACTGGTAAAGTGAGAGTAATGATACTGAAACATCTTTGAGCTGTTCCAGCAAGACACATTGTCCTTTACATAAGCAGACTTCTCTGAGGACTCTTGAAACAGATGTCAACAACATCGAAGGAATCTATGTCAGAGAGACTCCTGGGAACAAAGAGATGAAACAGATTAAAAAGATATCACTTATAAAATGTCGCTGCAGGTTATAACCCTGAGAATATTAATTAGAGCAACCTAGCTGACAGTCAGATATTTAAATACATATATTTTTAGATGGAAATTTATTTACCCGCTTTAAACTCTACTCCATACTTAAGTAGTGGAACACATGGAGTGCTCCCTTAGAGAAGCTTAGCAAACAAGGGAGACATAGTTCAATACAATTAAATGTTCGTTGATGGTAAATCTTACCTGTTGGTGACTTTTTTCCCCTCTGCATGAGCTGATCTAAACCTCTTTAAAGGTGACCAGAGAATGACCATCTTTCACTTAGAAGTTTTTTATTTCTCAGGGGCTAAAAGTGTTTTCCACTCAATAATTTTCTTTAAGTTCTCATTTCCACTTTTGAGTGTTGAGAGAAGACGTCCTGCATCACTCAAGGAATTCAGCAGATGCTGTTGGTTGTTAAATGGTTGTTAAAGTAAGTCTCGGCAAAAGTAGAATGTCAAGTACCTCTACATGAGTTCTTCTTCCAAGTCAGGGCTAAGGATCTTCCAGGAAGAGCAAGAAGAAAAAATTCTTGGCTTTTTAAAAAAATATTTTTAGTCAAAACAGATAAAGAATAAAACTCAAAAGGCTTTACATATTAGTAAATAATGTAAGAGATAACAGAGAGCAAAACTTTTGCAATACCCCTTCCTGCCTCTTTCCCTTTAGTAGCTCTGAGTGAGGGTCCAAGAGAGGCTGTAGTCGTCATGGAAAGCAATGCTTAGTACAGAACAAAAGCCAAGTTCATTGTGAGTGATGTTCCACAATCCCGTGACTGGTCATGGTCACTGTCAGACAGGTGACAGGAGGTCTCCAGGGTAGAACAGCTCCCCATGGAAGCAGGCTGGGCAGTATCCAAGGATTCAGATATCAGGTACCAGCTGTAGTTGGGATAGAGGCACAGGCCTCTATCAGGAGCCCACTGCCCAGCAGATCTCCTGGGCCAGAGCATGATTATCTGGTCAAGAGAGCAGAAATGTGTGTGTGTGAGAGAGCAGTGCATTGGGAAAGTGGCTTACTGTGCAAAGTACACATCACGTTTCTCCACTGAAAGACCTCTTAAGCCCCGACTGCCCTAGCTTGTAAATTCCTGGTTTGCTTCTTTCCAGGATGCACAGATTTTATGACTAAATAAAACCAAAAGGTGTGAGGAAGGCACAAACACATACTAATAGTGATGTGGCATGTTATGGAACAAGGAAAGGTTGCTGAGCAAGGCTGAAATGTTGAACATTTCAACATCTCCTTGAAATGTTCTGGATAGACAAGACTAGGGTACATACCTCTCCTTTCTGCAGTTTGTCTCTGCACAGTTACTCTTGGCAGTACTCCTGCTTGCTGACAGTGAAGGACTTGCAGTTTCTAGGGGAAAGGTTTCATAAACCTGATAAGCTCAGGGCTTGGCTATGGAAATATTGGAAGAGCTTCATAAAGCTGATGCATTGTCTGCTGCTCTCTCATGTAAACTAATCTGTGCCAGAAGACACATTTGCCTTCCTTGCCTAGCAAAGAAAGCTGTTTCCTGCTCTGCCTCAGGATTACAGAGAAGCACAAGGCCTACTCCAAATCCTAGACCTACACATCACATAATTGTCTTTCCAAACCTCTCTCTTTTTTACCGGGAAAGAGAAAGGATGAGACATTTCCAGGTGAAAACATTTTTGGCCAGCTCCACCCTGGCATTAAATGACGCATATCTCCATTGCCAGATTTGCAGGATTCATTCCTTCTGTGTCTGTCTGTTGACATGGAGCTGGGACCTCTGCCCTCACTACCACCGATTCACAAGATTAGTAGCTTCTTTGTTCCCTTGTCAGTTATGCCAGCCATGTCAGGCATGCTAGAAGCTTTTCCCAGGCATAAAAGAAGCTGGTAAGAAATAATTTTCAGGCAGTGGAGCAGGCTATACAGCCTGGCCTTTAAGGCAGCTTGGCAAACTGATGTCCACATTTGTCCTGGGAGACTCCAGAAACTGCAGCTGTCACTGGAACACAAAAGGTAAGCGACAACACACAGTATCTTCATACTTTGATTTCTGCTTCCATACTTCTTTCCTTCTGCCTAGTGGCATCCTGATTATTTGGTTATCAATATGTTTATGGAGAACCTTGAGCCTTCTCAGAATTCTGGGCATTAGTGGGCCAAAAAGGGAAATTTGAAACAGATCCTTTCCCTCAAATAGGACACCTGTGTTCTCACTAAGCTTCCTTGCTTTTGGGGTAAAAATGCCAGGACATTCCTTTTGACTAGGAGCCTAGGATTTGTTTATTGCGAGCGGTAGGCTTAAGAAAGATATTTCTCTGCCAGGCTTGCTTCATTTCTTTCCTAAGAGTGAGAGCTTCACACACGTTTTTGCAACATTTTTAAGTGCAGTAACCCCAGAATGTTTAAATAAGAAGAAGAACAGCCACATCTGTAAACTCGTATTTGGAGGTAATACACATCCACTTTTCCCTGGTGTGTTGCTGTTTGGCAGAGAATGTCTGGCTCTGGTCCACCCTAGGTCTCTGCTGGCATTTAACAGTGCTCTGGTTCATTAATTTGTGGAGACTTAAGCTTACATCTTTCACAGAGTGCCTTGCTATTGCCAACAGACTTTGTCAGTTGACAGTGAAAAAACTCTACTTATGCTTCTCCAAGGAAGACCTTCCTGTTATAGGGAGTGAAAAAAAGCAACAATTCTTATCTTCAACAAGATTAACTATACTAAGTTTCCCATGCTCTTGGGATGGTATTAATGTGATGAAAAATGACAGATTAATAAGAAATTTACCCATATTAATAAGCCTAAACATGGCTTGGCTGTGGGGAAATTAGTTTTAATTGATTCATCAAACAATGCACATTCCTGCCATTTCCCAATGGGATCTGAGATACTTATCTGACAAAACCCTTCAATACCTAAAACTTTGAATTGTCTTAACAAAAAATGTGGTGCATCCAAAGCCAGGTCTTTAGTTCAAAGCAATTCTGAGTGGCACTGAGGTCACGTGAGCAGGCATCATCTCAACATGACTATGTCACTCTCTCACCCTCTGCGATGAGACTTTATAGAGAAACACATTCCTGCTGGACCATGGGTGCCATGTGACTGTGGAATACCCTATTTATGCTAAACAGAAACTGTAATGTTTTGGCCACTACTGCAAGGCAGCAGTGTGAGCAGAATGTGGTACAAATAACATTGAGATTAATGGAAGGGAGAACCAGACAGCGCTGGGAAACTACCAGCTTTTGCAGTCTAACTGCTAAAGACAAATTGCGTTCCAGGGACATGTTGCTAGTGAACATATTTCAACTGTGTCATGAACTCTTGTGAAAAGTTAAGGCAGAAGATGCATGGCTATGATACACCACCAAGACTTGACTCCACAGAGTAGGGGTTCCCTCCATACTCCCTTCTTCTAATCTCCCCTTCTGGTCAGGTGTGCTGTGGAAATGTCTTTTTAAGAAGATAATACACTATTATATCTCTGTGAGTCACCAGATACAGCTTGGCTCTTCTTTTTCAAGAAGACATTGAGAAAACAGAGCAACCAAATGTCCTTATGTGAAGTAGCAGATGTCTTCCAAAAGAATATGAGATGGGATGGAGCACAGGACAAGGAAATTCACAATAACAAGGTTACACCTTCCTTGGAGTCCTGCACATCTACTCTGAGCTCTTGCTCTAAAGCTAAGAGTGACAAATTGAAACCCCAGTTAGCAATGTTTCCCCCTGTCATTTCCACAAAACCACATCAATCAATTTACTTGGCAATTACTCACCAATTTTGTCTTAAATTCAAGATCAGATATAAAGCATAGGATGATTTTTTATAACATTGCAGGTAAAATGTTAAAATTAAATTAATAGATTTTTCTTTTTACCCTCTGCCTTAGACCTCTTCCACATACAAAACATGCCATAAAAGGAGTGCATATTCACAGTGAGATTGCTGGGTAAAACACAATAACCAAACCATGTCCACTCTGCATGAAAATAACTTCTAATGCAGCAGTCACTATCAAGCACTGGTATTTTAGTAGCAATCACTACAGAAAAGAATCCAGTGGTGACACAACATTCAAGCTAGGCATTACTTTGAATTTTAACATTACAGCTTACCAGTAGTTTGAAAGAATCCTGATTACTTTTGTGGCTAGACAAAAGTTAAACTCTTCAAAACAAAAGGGGAAAAAATGGCAGGACAGACCAACAAATGAGGTATGGATTTCACTGCTGTCACAGTTTTGAGGATGAAAACCTGGAGGCAAGTGTAGATTTGTCACTGTCAAGGAATTGCTTGAAAATAACAATTACAACTGATGGAGAAGTGGAGGAACTAATCCCACAGCAATAAACACAGCCTTGAAAATAAGGACAAGAAGTGAATAAACACTGTGGAGCTAATAGGAAGCTGCAGATGAAAGCACTTATCAGAGCTGGTTATGAGTGAGTCTCACCTACTGAAATTATCCAGAAAGTCCACAAGCCATGTGAAGTTCATGGGAGAAAAGGCTGCTATAGAACATGCAATCGGTCAAACACACTCAGATATACACATATGCCAGACAAAATACCATAGCCCACTAGAAAACCTGCTAAAGTTATGTCACAAACACTGAGCTCTTGCTAGCAAAATTGTCCTTTCTCATTGACAAACGTGACATGAATGCTTATTTTCCCTTGAACCTTTTTCTTGGTTTTGGGACCCAACTAGCAAAAGGCATCACTAAAATAAGATGAAGATTCAGTATTTGGCGTCTCATCCTGCTCTTAGGATACTCTGTGGCTGAGACAAAACCAAATTGAATGAGTACAGGGTGACAGAGGAACAATGCTCTCTTCTTCATGCCCTGGGGAAAATCTGGCTTGTTCCAGTGATGGTGAATTGCATCCCAGAGGAAGAATGCTGGAGTGTGGAGAAAGTCACTAGTGTGGAGAAAAAAGTTGGACTAGGAGCTAGGTCACCAGACCAGGCTTGTGTGGCGTTTCTCTGCCTTTTCTTTTTGTTTACTTTCACCTTGAATCTAGAAATTTTGCATTGATGTTTTTTTCATTGATGTGTGTGTCCTGTGTGCCAGTGTGGCTTCAGGTCTGGGACTATGAGACTCACCTAGAATATAAATAATGATAGAGATATTTATTTACATTGAAGAAGAAAACTACCAAGACAGAGCTGAACCTGCTTTCAAAATAAGACAAATTGAAATCCATAGAAACTGGGTGTTTATATCCTCTGGTATGGATTAATTATTAGATTCCTCTTGCAAGGAAAAAAAAAAACCTTTCTGAGACTCCAAAGAGATTTCCTTCTGCAGAAACTTCCAGAAAGAGGCTGTTTCAGACTGAAATCTGCATTAATTATAAATGCAAAATGTATAAGGGTATCAAATTTTTAAAGCTATAAAAAAGCTCAAGGGGATGCTTCCACATATAGAAAAATGTTCTCTCATGTTTATGTTGCATGCTGGAAGATGGGACTTGTACAAAAGAATAAGCATAAAATTTAGATCTATAATCAATAACCATCAAGACTTTTTAGAAAAAGAGAGATCCACAGGGAATAAAAAAAATTTCTTACAAAACTTGGGCAATACTGGATTTTAACCACATGTTTATTGTGCATTTCATTGTGCTGCAGGTTAAGAAATTACCGTGCTATTTTAAAGTGATGAGACGACCAGAATAGAGTCACGCAGCTTAACTGCAGCAGAGCAATGAGAGGATCTTTAGCTAACGAGC